AAAAAAAAATTCTTATTGTTTGCAAAATGCCCAATTAATTCATGCATGACTCACGGTTACCGGCAGGGCGCCGATCAGTTACCGGGGCTTTGTTTACCATGCATTCATTAATCGAAGGTGATAAATAGTCGGTATTGGTCCTATCAGTACGGTAATTGTCCGGCCGGTACGGTAACGCAACGGTCGGTACGGTAAAGCAACGACCGGTACGGTAAAGCAACGACCGGTACGGTAAACCGAGTCAAACTCACAGGAAACCGGCTGGGTGGTAATGATCAGTTCCCTTAGTCACCTTAATGCAATTGACCATTTCCCGTTCACTGCGAGAATCACGTGTTATGCGTGAAATCGAACGTAAAAACAGGACAAACAAAGGTCATAGCGTCGTAGAGGCGTCAAACATCGCGTGGGATTCGACAAATGCGAAAATTTTTAGGGGGACATTTCCATGCTTAATAATGTGCTGTCCACATTTGATGATAGGCAATTTCGATTAAGTAAGAGTATTCGGAAGCAATATTGGTCTGTCGAAGATCGGCTGGTCGATGTGAGCTACGAAAATAAGAAATTCGAGTTCAAAATCAAATCATTCGATTTTTGCGACAAACGTTCGACGCGCGTCTTTCATGCATCTCACGAGATCTCGCAATTGTACGGAAAATCACCTATTATTAGATATTTCTGGCATTCTCATATATGCCATAAACATGACAACTTTGTATATATTAATCAATAAATTTACTTCTCGTGACCAAGAATAAAATATTGATCAATAGAGTATTTATAAATGTCTAATACTGTAAAGGGGTTAATTATTCACTGGGTTTTAATTTCGCTTTTTTCGCTGACTGGAAAATGCGCTAAATTAAAACCCAGTGAATATGTAAAATTTAGCATAGAACACATTATCTAAATGATAAAACCGTGAATTAAAAACCCACTAAATATGCCTGAAATGCTAAATCAGTGAAATTTAAACCCAGTGAAAATTAGTCATTTTACAGTATCTAACTGATTTCTCAGCTTGATTCATGTTCCTTATTGGCCGTTGGACCTTTGACAACAAGCACTATTAGATAAATCTGTCTATAAATTCCGTCTGTCTCAGATATCGCAGACCAACTTTGACTGAGACAATTCATACTATTTTACATACATCTCAAACATGGATAATTGGAATATTGTGCTATACTATTTACCGCACTAACTATGGACTTCATTTTATTGTAGACACGAATGACAGCTGCTACTGAGGCTTTAGACAGTGCGTCTAGATTAACAGATCAACTTGACAGGAAAGATGCCATGATACAAAGGCTCAAACAAGAAGGTAAGATTTCCATACAATAACAATGTGAGGCAACTGTAAACAGGCCCATGTCAAACCTGTATATCATACCGGTATGTTCTGTGCTTTATAAGGCACTATATTTGCTATATTACAAGTATATCAAATAAATCAAACAAAATCCCAAAATGGCATTCACTGTAAACTAGGTCATATAAAGCATTAGATCTGTAAACTAGATCATTAAAAGTATTTGACCTAAGAAATAAGAGTGAAAAAATTATCCCTATTTTTAAGTGCCACATAACTTTCCATGTTTTTTTCCCAGTATGAAATATTTTTTTAAAAAGGGCAAAAATTAAATTTGTTTCACTGTAGGTAACCAAACACAATTTTGAAATAGGGTGGGAACTTTTTTACCGTAGGGGAACCCAAATGTCCCAAAAATCACTATTTTCATGCATGGATGTTTGGCCTGTGTTTTCTGTGTTTTTTGGTAACTGAATATTTTTATCTTTGTTCAGTGAACAACAAAATAAAATAATTTCATATGACTGGACATACTTCTGTCATTGATAACAATTGTCTACAATAGAATGAATAGTACAAATATGGTTTATAATCTATGCACATGAGATTTTGTTTGAATCTGAGATTGTTCACTGTCAATTCTCACATTACTTGATTACTTTTATGTTAACGTAAATTGAATTTTTGCAGTGAATATGAAAGAAGAAGAATTGCATGACATTCAATCCAGAGTTGCCAGACTGATGGGGAATGGTGATAGTAAAGTTGACAAGTAAGTCCCTGGATTCAAAATATCTTTTAATTGTACATGTAAATGACGCGACTCATGTTGTGACATGGATATATATATATATATATATATATATATATATATATATATATATATATATATATATATAATGACCCTAGTTGTGCGTTTAACAGCCAATGCAGTTTCTTGACTCGGTTAATTGTGGTATTATTTATTTCATGCAGGTCCTTGGTTAAGAATTTGTTTGTAGGGTATTTCAGTACACCAAAGGGAAAACAAGGAGAAGTACTTCGACTGATAAGTCGGGTGTTGAATTTCACACAAAATGAGATGGAGAAGGTATGATCTTTTGAGTAGCCTCATATTGAAATTGATTTCATTGATGGAGCCACAAAGGCCATTACAGTTGTTCAGTTATTTCATGCTATTAACATGTTGTGATGGTTTGTCTGTTAGGTTGGATTGTCCAGTGGTGAAGGTAGTTGGTTAACTGGTTGGTTTAGGAAAGCATCCCCCTCACCGCCATCATCACCAAATAGATCTAATGCTGCTGACGAGGTAAGACATTGTTGCAGCATACTAATGAAAATGTTTTGTAATATATAGAGTAAACCTCAAGACTAATTCAATAAAAAAGGGTTAAGATGATTATGGGGAAGACATTAGTCATCAGAAGTAATGAAAAAATATATTCATCTGATAGAAAGCGTCAATAAAGTACATTGTAGTTTTAAAGCAATGTGCATATGGTCTTTCATGGGCACAATACTGGCTATTCATTTGTTAGAAAGCACTTAGGTAACATCTGTCTTTATTTGCATTGTACTGACATATAGTAATACTGGAACATTATCAGTCCTCATTTGGGTTGTTTTAGTCTCTATGCATCTGTTTGTCCGGAAAATTTTTCTGCAATAGCCACATCCTAATTTGATAGTGCCGTAAGCTTACTTAAGGCAAAGCAATAATTGTTTTGTATATGCTAGTGGTCTTTTAAATTAATTACACTACGGGGACAGGGAAATGCTTGTCAATACTAACTTTTGTTTTTTCTCTTCATTTTCCCCAGTCATTCACCAAATCATTTGTTAGCTTCCTGCAGTTTGAGTCAACACCAACAGCGCAGGTGAAATTACCACTCAAAGAGATGATGCAAGAAAGGTCTTCAAGACCAGCTTTTAATCCATTCACCGTTCCTCCATTGTCGCCATCCTCTCCAAAGCCAAAAGGAGACATGTCTCATATATTAATGAAACCTGTCACAGCTTCCTTACCTGCATTTACACCTATGCCGATAATGGAGAAAGATACTGAGCAGTCTGCAGCGACATCAAGTGGCAATGCATTGAAAGAAATATTACAACAATAGCTGACATTACAGTAGTTTAATACTAGAATGCACAACATGTATATAAGTCGGGATGTACATATAGAATTTGACTAATCTATAAATTATTGAGCAAATTAAATGAAGAAGATCCTGAATTTGAAATAACGATTTGAGTGTATGAGACTGAGAAATAACAGTAGAATGCTGTTTTGACAGTTCTACTACATATGGGAAATATTAAACTAGTGTTTACACGGTTTATAGAATTATACCTCCACTCATAATAAGTGAGATATTGGTGTAGCCCATGAAGTGCACCTTAAATACATTGTAGATGCAGTTTTGTAATCTGCATTATTTTAATATATATAT